AATATTCTTTTATATATATATAATTGGTCAAAGTTAAAAAAAGCTGATTTCTCAGAAAGCGAGAATAACTTCTATTTTGGGACAGAGAAAGTACTACTCTCGGATGAAGCCACCACTACTATGGGCCTGATTGGTTCGTTGCTAAATTGCAAAGCCAAAGATTTGGCAAGTCATAATTTTGACTATTGTTTGGTTTGCTACCAAAACTTACTAACCTCTTATATTTAACTTATCAAATCTATGGTAATTTTTTTATCCAATCTTTGCTTGCCTAATTTTTGGCATGACAATTTTTTAGGTTTGTTTTTAAATTGCTAAGTCAAAAATTTGACAAGTCATGATTTTAGCTATTATTTAGTTTGCTACCAAAACATATTCTCCTCTTATGTTTGACTTGCCAAATCTATGACAATTTTTATATCTAACTTTTGCTTGCTAAATTTTTGGCATAGCAATTTTCACGTGTTTGGCCATGCACTCATATGGTCTAAATCTGTAACAGATCGAGCATGTTTACGATCGTATACTTTTGTTTTGTTACACAGTATGTTCCTGATATATTGTCGTGCCTTTTTATTTTATTTAGAGGCTGTTTTTTCATGCTACGATGGTTCGCGTCGTTGCTTCGTTTGAACTTATTAGCCGGGTTTATCAGTCATGGTATATTATTTTTCTCTCACAACAAATTCACGAATAGTACTTTTCGGTCTGCCTTTTCAGCGAAGCGAGTCTATTCACTTGGCTTATCAGCCATACTTTTTTAGCAAAAGAACAATGTTTTTCTCTCACAACAAATCAGCGAACAATATTTTTTAGCCAAACTTTTCAGCAAAGCGAACAATGCTATAGTTTAAACTGAGCAATACCTCCTCGATCCGGGGGGGTTACGAATTTGTCTTTAACTTCTATGGGAGAGCCCAATGCCCCAATACACCTTTTCGTTTCCCATGATTCTCCCAATCGGTTGTAGAAAGGAAGGACCGAGCCTGCCTATCAGTAAGGGCGTCCCTTCCAAATAGCTAGCCTAAGAAAAATTATATTGACTATTAAAGAGAGATTAAATAGCTAGTGATTCTTAAATTATTAGTCTAGCAGAATCTTTCAGAAACAACTTTTTCACAGCTCATATAACCCTCTACAAAAGTGTTCTTTTTTTTTTAATTTTACTAGATAGCGTGTCCGTGCGTTGGTACGGGGTAACTAAATTTTTGTACTAAAAACATACGGATCGCACGATAAGATAACAATACTGTGAAATTAAATACAGATATTAAAGTGGCATTTAATCCAAGAAGCAAAGTTCATAAAATTAACACAGTTACGGAGAACGCGGCGTCGCATGCTCACAAACTCTATTGTATAGACCTTTCCGTGATGCGGCTACGATAATGTTTTATATTAGCAGGAAAAAATCTCTGATATATGTTTCTTCCGTGCACCAATATATCCACGAACTCCATGTCATCCTATACACAGATTCGAGTAAATATGTAAATATTAGTGCCTGTCACATAGGTAATACTATGTGTCTTGAAAAATCTCTCACAAAATATTAAAACAAAGTATATTATACTCATCGTATAAATATGTGTTGCTTTAGATCTATTCCATGCAAACATATACTGTAAAATAAGAAGTGAAAATTTATATAAAAAATAAAACAGAAAATCAGATTTATTAAGATTGATGTCTTATATATTGTATAACCAAAAGTAGCTTTTAACGTGTTCAAATTTCACAGCACCATCAGCCGTACTTTTGGGTGCGTTTGGTTGAGGAGCTATGACTTCTATAAAAACTACCGCCAGCCTCTTTCAGTTACGAGCGGACCCTAAATGTACTGACCCTCATCCAAGGTAGGACCTTCTCGTTGGACACCAGATGATCAGCAGTTTCGACGCCTCTTTGGCCAGGTTGAATAGTTCACAGAGCCCAGACCGCATTGATGGTGACTCCCTTTCCTTCATCTTCCACTATAGATGGTATGCCGATAAAACACTAACAAAAACACTTAGGTGATGTGCGAGACGTGTGGCACGTCCGTGGGCTGCCCAATCTCGATCCGCTCCTCGTCGCTGTCCTCCTTCTCGTGATCATCGTCATCAACACCCACGGCGCCGGTGCTGCACATCACCAGCGACTCCGCAGCACCCCCACGATGGTCGTGCTAACGCTACGACAAAATACAAAACACGATTCAATTTGTAAAAAAATAAAACGAACAAGATAGAACCCACCTCATTTCCATCCAACCTCAAATGAAATGAGTTTATTTTCCTAGCCCATCCCATCCAGTAAACAATTAATTAACCTATATCTCGCATGCTAACTATCCTATGTTTCACTGTCCCCACACATGAATCGCATGTTGGCTTCCTTTTTTTCTGAGTGACATGCTGATCAAAGAATGGTTGAACAACAAAGTTCAGGGATTGAAGCACATGGTTCAGCAACAAAATTACAGGGATCAAGGTACATGATCCAACAACAAAATTATAGGGATCAAAGCATATGATTTGCTAAAATAACTGATCAGGAAGGCGTGGCCATCTACTTGAGAAATGTACATGTAACCATGCCATACGCTTTAACCCAGATTGCAAACTGGAGCCAATGTTTTTTTTGTAAGTTTGATGCACACAAAGAAGGGTGATTACACATCATCAACGAAACCGCATCTGCATTTAATGGATCAAAAGGATTAGGATATGACAGAAGTTTTGGAAAGAAGACCTCAAACACATTGACAAGATCTGCAAAGTATCACATAGGTTCAAACCTAAGTCTACTTTAACATGGTACAAAACAGGAATCTCTAATTGTACATATAAGGCATGGAGAGAATCCATTGCCTGTACATACAAATAATGAAATGCAAAGATCAATCTTACCAAGCATTTGTCTCCATGTTTGGTTGATGACATCCAAACAGACTAAACCAGACCTTACATTCATCCAGAAGTGGTTAGAAGGTGGATCATTTTTCTTGAGCTAAAGTAGTGGAAACTAAAGAACACGATGACCAAGAAAAAATATGAACTTTCTGAAAACTCTCACAACAGCCAATTACCATTATTCTTCTGTTGGCAAGAGTCATGGCATGAGATCTGAACTCTAATAAATCAATATAGATAGTTATGAAATAAATAAGCACACCTAATGAATTTAGAGGAACTTCACATCACTCAAGTAATTCTAAGATACAGTTCAAGCTCCCTTGATGCTCTTATAATTTCCCATCAATTTCATCAAGTAGACATTCATACTTCTATCCAAATAATAAGCACATGATCTGTATGCCAAAAATGTCATGTACTCCTACAAATAACAATGAACTATCCAAAAAGCAATGCAAAATCACTTGTATATAAGTCTGAATTACTAACCCTAATGCCACTGGTGCATGAGACTAACATTCTCGAAGTAAGATTGAATCAGTCTCCGATGGAATACTCCAAAATGCACTGCCTTTTTTTAACCTTTAAGCTATTGTACGACTCCTTCAAAAGATAGCACTTGTCTGGCATGATCTGTGCAAGAAGCATCAGGATCATGTTGCGGGCCACCGGTGAGGTCCAATGGCAACTAATATCTTTGTCATCTTCCGGGAACAAGCTAACCTTGCACCTGCTACATCTTTGTCATCACTGAAGTTACTCCTACCTCACAACTATACTTCCATATATATATTTTGTTTATTTCGATATACAAATGCTGAAGTGCTCGGATTAGCAACAAATTCATCACGCTTGCTAGCTAGATAGAAGAGGAACTATGGTCAAAACTATGAAAAATTCATCCAGAAAAATCTATGCAACTATTTAAGTTTTCATAGCAATTTTGGATCACAAATCCATATGCTTGCTGAGGATTACGGATTAATTAATAATTAACTTCTATGAGGGGGGAGGAACTTTTGCATTTACCGGCAAGGCAAGCAATACGTCATTGATATCATAGATCTCTTGGGCCAGGCATGTGGTCTCAGACGTGACTTTCCGCTGGTGGCCTCATTGTCACCACTGCTGCATCAGACTTTGACTTCCATTTATCAATCTATGCAATTCACAAAGCCACAGACATGAGAAACAAAAATTTCGTACCTGACTTATCACAATTTTTTTATTCCACTAAAGGATTAATGGATGGAACCAAATATAATATAACCAATGTTTTTTAACATCTAAAACTCAACTAATATAATACAACCAAATATTTTTAACATCTAAAACTCTTGTTGAGAAAATTGATCTACAATTTTTTGAAAGATTAAAAAGATTAGGATATAACAAATCATCAACGAAACCGCATCTGCATTTAATGGATGAAAAGGATTAGGATATAACAGAAGTTTTGGAAAGAAGACCTCAAACACATTGACAAGATCTGCAAAGTATCACATAGGTTCAAACCTAAGCCTACTTTAACATGGTACAAAACAGGAATCTCTAATTGTACATATAAGGCATGGAGAGAATCCATTGCCTGTACATACAAATAATGAAATGCAAAGATCAATCTTACCAAGCATTTGTCTCCATGTCTGGTTGATGACATCCAAACAGACTAAACCAGACCTTACATTCATCCTTTTGGTCCAGAAGTGGTTTTACTTTTCATAGTAAGGAAGCAAGCAGCAGCACATGACATGTAATTTGTAACTCGTTTGAGCAAGTCGATTAACATATTGCAATTCCTTGTAAATGTGATTTCGTGTAGAGCCTGATCTCTGGATCCAATAACACCTCAACTATCGTCCTACATCAGGCATCTCAATATCAAAAATCAATGAAGCAAACACACAATCAGTGCCAATTGGTACATGGTTAGTATTTACTAACAGAAATTCAGCGTTGCCTATAACTTAGAATAGGGTCTAAATTGCAGATGATCAGAATAGCATGCAATTGATGGATTGGACAAGAACTTCGGTGAAACTATCAACCAAAATCACCGCAAGGAGAGGAGAGGAGAGAGAGAGAGAGAGAGAGAGAGAAGAGATGACACCTAGGGTTTCATGGAGTCTGAGAAGAAGCGCGGCGCTGGCGAGACGATGCCGCATCATCGGGGAGCCGTATTTGGGAGCACCGTGTAGGAGGGCCCGTGGCGGCGACGTGCTCGGGACCGCCGCCGTGGGGCTCATCGTGTTTGGGGACGGCGAATCACGGCTGCTGTATGGCGCAACACCGAGGAGAGGGTCGCTCGCTCCCGCCCTTGCGCGAGGAGGAAAGGGCATGGAGGAGAATGAGGGTGGCCACCGTGCCATGCACTCTCACAGGTTAGGATGCCTCCTCGCCGGATCCACCGAGGGCGAGCGCCTCCACCCTATCCGGTCCGCCTCGTCGCCGGATCAGCCGAGGGCGACGGTCGACGGTCTGCTCACCGGCCGGGCTGCCTCATCTGGATCCATCCTCGGCATGGGAGGGGAGGCGACAGGGGGGACGACGTCTGGAACCGTTGATGCCCTGGCTGATTGGGTCGCCGGGGGCTTGGCGAGGGAGGCTGCGGCGAGGCTACTGGGCGACGACGACAGCGGAGGAGCGAGGCCGACGGGCGATCACGGCGCGATGGGATCGGTGGGGAGGAGATATCACGACAGCGGTGCGGGAATGGGGATAGGGAGCTCCAGCGGGTCGCACGCACGGTGGGTGGGGGGCGGTGATTGCGGCGTTTTAGCGACTTGCGCGCGGACGAGAGGTGGAGCGAAGACACAAAAAAAATCGTACGAAAAAATAGTCTTACTTTTGTTCTTTTCAACCGTAGAAGATTTCACGCGCTAAACTCGTCCGCTTCTTTCACACTGAGGCCTTGTTTAGATTGAAAGTTTTTTGAACCTGATGAATAGTACCACTTTCGTCTTATTTAGTAAATATTGTCCCATCGTGGACCAACTAGACTTAAAAGATTCATCTCGTGATTTTCAACTAAACTGTGTAATTAGTTATTTTTTTTACCTACATTTAATACTCCATGCAAGCGGCTAAAAATTGATGTGACGGAGAGAGAGTGAAAAAACTTAGAATTTAGAGGTGATCTAAACAAGGCCTGAATGGAATGGAAAGCATTACGTACAGGAAGATATACGTACATCTAAACTTCGCACCATCAGGCAAATGACACATGGGGCCGACCGTGCCGCTCCGTTCTACGGGCCCCACATAGGAGTGGAACAGCTAGTACGCTCCCATACACCGCTTCCAATTCCCAGCAGTACGCTCCCGCGCGCCCGCTCACCTGCCGTCGCACTGTGGGCGGGAACTCCCAAATTCGAAACCTGCCGCCTCCATCCGCTACAAGCCTCCGCACCGCTCCCACCGCCACGGCGGCCCCACCGTGCTCAGCCTCTTTGGCCCCACCGGTCAGTGTACGAACCACCGCTCTACGAGGATCAGGAGCACGCGCCCTCGGTCCCCCACCCGAGGAGCCGCCAGCCCGCCACGCACCCACCGCCCACCGCCCACTTCAATTCCCCCAACGCTCCCAATGGCCTTGTTTAGAATCTGAATATTATAGCATGTTTTGTTTGTATTTAATAAACTTTGTTTGATTATGGACTAACTAGGTTTAAAAGTTTCATTTCGTGATTTACAACTAAACTGTGCAATTAATTATTTTTTTATCTACATTTAATGCTTATATCTAAAAATTAATGTGATGAAGAGAGAGTAAAAAAACTTGGAATTTTGATGCGATCTAAACAACGCCAAAGGGGGGGGGGGGCCCAAAAAACGGCATCTCGGCAGGCGCCGTCCCGCCCAACAACAGTACGAGGCAGGGGAGCAGTTCGTCGCGTGTCGCGCCGCTCGCCAATTCGAACGGGCGAGACCGGGATCCGCACCTGAGCCGCCGGAGAGGAAGAGATGGCCAGGCCGTGGTGATCTCCGCGGGGCTGGAGGTGCGTGCGCGGGGATGGATCTCGCGGGGATGAAGCGGCGGGAGCTCCAGGCGCTCTGCAAGCGGCACGGCCTCCCGCCGGGGGCTCCAACGCCGACCTCGTCGCTCGTCTCGAAGCCGCGCTCTCGGTAAGGACACCACGCGCTACCCCGTAAGGCAGTAATCCTCGTTGAGCCGCCAAGTGCTCGTGGAAATGCTCCGCACGTTCGATTTGTTTTTTTCTATGAAAATGTTTCGCGGCACTGCTCCTTCTAATGCTGCTGTTGTGTTGATTTCCCTTGTTGTAGGGGACCGCTAGTGCGGAGGAGGAGGTGGCCGGAGTGCCGGCGAGGAAGGGGTGTCTGAAGCAAACAGACGGAGATGCTGTCGAGGCGAAGAAGGTTACTTTTGCGGCGGAGGAAGGGAAGGCAAGGAGACTGAGGTCTCAGGTCATCTGGTCGCCGATTGCCCCCAAGACAAGGGGAAAGTCTGCTCAAGCCCGTACTGACTCTGCTGCTGCTGCTGCTGAAGATAGTATTTCTGCAGAGGTGGTCACAGATGTCCCGGGTGAGGCGGTCCAGGAGGAATTCGGTGTGTGCTGCTGAGGCTGAGGAAGCAGGAGAGGCTGTTGCTGTTGATAGGAAGCGCAAGCGCAAGAACCTGGAGAATGATGAGAGTGTCGCTATCAGTGCTCAGGTTGGGGTTTCGTCTAGAGTGACGAGAAGGTCAAGTTTGGCGGGGGTTGGTGTTGTGTTGCTTCCTGTTGTTGAGAAGAAGAGAGGGAGGGGGAAAGCAGCTGGTGGTAGTAATAAACTTGTTGCTAAGGTTCAAGACAGTGAGCCTGATGTGCAGAATTCGGCTCAGGTGGACGTATCAGCTAGGATTACAAGATCTCGCGCAACAGCACCTGTTGTAATGTCACCCACTGTCGTTGAGAACAAGAGGAGGAGGAAGACCGGAGATGCACGAACAAATTTAGAGCTGCCTACAGTCTCAGATGTGCCTAGAAATGATACTCCTGTCACCAGGTCTTTGAGGAGCAGAGTTGTCCAGGTTAACAACAGTATGGTGGACGAAACTCACACTGCCAGGCAGCTGGAAAACAAGACGCAACCCAGTAGGCCACCTACTCGTAGGCATCAACAGGTTTCATCTTCTGTGGAGGACAAAAATCAAGAACAAACTGCTGCTCCCAATAAGGCTCCCATATTGAGGCGATCAGGGAGAAATTCTGAAGATGCTGAGAAGCAGCCAGAAGTTAAAGATCTGGTTAAGCGATCAACACGTAAATCTGTTGTCCCAGCTACACTTGAGAAAGAGGAGAATGATCTAATTGAAGAAAAGAACCCTGAAGCACATGTTAGGAGATCAATGATGAAATCAATTGTGCCGGTTAAAGATATCAAAGGTATTGGTGAAAAGATTCAAAATGCTAACAGTGAAGATGCGGTGAAGCAAGCAGCAACTAAAGGACCTGTTAGGGGATCGAGACGTAAATCCGTTGTCTCAGAATTGCATAAGAAAGAGAAGGGTCTCATTGCAGAAAAGAGTACGGAAGCACATGAAAGGAGATCAATGCGGAAACCTGTAGTGCCAGTTAAAGATATTAAAGCTGCTGTTGAAGAAATTCAAAATGCTAAGGGCAAAGATGTGGAGAAGCAATTTGTTGTGAAGCAACCTACTATGCGCTCATCATGCAAATCTGTTCTGCCTGATATACTTGAGAACAATAGTGGACTTCTAGCAGCAGAAATGAATGCTGAGATGAATGTTAGGAGATCAACACGGAAGTCTGTTCTTCCTAATATGCTTAATGAGGAGAACCAAGATCAGAATAAAATTGCCAGAAATGAGAACTTTCAAAGTGGTAAATGTCAAGATGATGAGAGGCAACAGAAAGTAAAGGAACCTATTAGGCGATCAAGGCGGTCTGTGGTTGCAGTGCCTTTTGAGGAAGAAAATAATGGTCTTTATGAGGAAAAAATATCAAAAATTCCTATGAGGAGATCAACAGGTAAATCTGTTGCTCTTAATGAAGTTGAAAAAGTGAGCATGGATGACACTGAAATAGTTGCAGGGGAACCAGAAAGAGTTGGTGAAGAGGGCTTGAAATTGAGGAAGCACAAAAGGTCTTCGCTGGAAATATCCTCTTCAGCTAATGATTCCAGGAAGATGGAGGATTTTGATGGACAGAAATTCAGGAAGCAGCAGAACCCACAAATCCCAAATGAAAAAGGTAACACAGGGGGAACACTGCAGGCATCAAATTCCACAACTTTAAAGGGAAGGTCTTCAAAGAGGAGACGGACAACTGCTTCAGAAGAAGTGAGGTCTGTCAAGGAGGCAAATGATGACATAATTATCAGGGAAGCAACAAAGGATGCACACAAAGCTACTCATGAGAATAAGGAGTCTGGTAGCAGAGTTCAAGAATTTGGTCAGGTTAATGCCACAAGAGAAGAGCACTCTTCAGGACCATTGCTTGTAACAGTGACACTCACTGAAGAAATTTCCACAGCGCAGAGTGTGCGTGTGGTGATACCTGGGTCAGAACCTGGTGACAATGCAAATGAAAGTTCAGATAAGAGTAAGCAGGAACATTCTGACATTCAGGCTGTTGATAGCCATTTATCTGAAACAAGTGGGGAATTAGACCAATCATCTTGCATCGCTGGACTAGTTCTACACAATTTTGATGTCTCAGAGGACAAATCATTGATGAGCAAAGGTGAGGTTAACATGGGTGCTAATGACATGCTAGGTAATTTATTTCTGCATTGCCAAATTTATAGGCTTTAGCTATGTCCAATTTATCTGTTGTAGACAATCATCATCACAATTATATTTTATTGATCTTCTTCTTTGTATGCTCAAAAGCTGGCATATAACTACCTTATTGATTTTGTGATGTTGTAATTAGCTTTGCCCATTACTGTCTTGTTATATACTGAAAGGCAGCCTTTGTCATTGCAAAATCACCAGATGGCATATAACTACCTTATTGATTTTGTGATGTTGTAATTAGCTTTGCCCATTACTGTCTTGTTATATACTGAAAGGCAGCCTTTGTCATTGCAAAATCACCAGATGGCATATGACCACCTTATTGATTTTGTGATGTTGTAATTAGCTTTGCCCATTACTGTCTTGTTATATACTGAAAGGCAGCCTTTGTCATTGCAAAATCACCAGATGGTTTATCAATTGATTTCACTGTTGGAGATCGTGAAGAGCAAAGCCCTGTATCCGGAGAAAGGAGAGTTGGTTTGGAAGCAAATGCCAGCGAGCCTGGGCAACATAACCTTGCTAACGTCATGTCCACTGGTCTCCACGCCAAAAGTCTGCAACATGATACTGACATAATAGCTGAAAAGACTGATAAAGGTACAACTGGATTAATCCTATATCCATAACTACTTACTGATTTAGAAGATAATATGTATGTTAAACATCTGAATTCACCTGTGCCAGCTAATTGGTACATGCATTTTCAATTTTATTGGAAGGTCAAAAGTCAAAACCTGCCATATAATTTTTCATTGTTTTTTCTAAAGAGCTTGTACTACTTACTGATCTTGTTGCATGATTTTCAATTCACTACATTAAACTTGCAAAATCTCCAGATGTTTTGCCTATGGCTTTCCCTATTGAAGAGCATGGAGAAAAATATGCAGTGAGCCCTGTAGCTGTTGAAAAGAGCGTCGGTTCGGAAGCAAGTGCATGTGAATCTGCAGGAAAACCTCTAACTGGCATCTTTTGTAACAATCTCCACACCAAACATCTGCAACATGATTCTGATGTGCTAACTAAAGAGACTAGTGAAGGTAATATTGCATTAATACTTGTTCCACAACTTGTTACGGATCTGGGAGATGATGATGAAAAGTTGTGTCGTCTGCACTGTGTTTCATTTACCAATTTGAAACATACTGAGTTCATCTATGTCAAATTGAGGGTACTTGTATTTCTAATTATTTTTAATAGGCTTTCTGTTTCTTCTATCTGCAACAGCTAGGCCTAGGTTCCATTATCATTTGTTGTCTTATAACTATCGGACCTATTTATTTTTTCTATTCTGAACACAAGCTTTGGTTCTTGTGTAACTCTTCACTAACGACCTTTGTCATTTGCTAATACTATCATACTATTGATCAGCTTCTGGAGCTGCCCTACCAATATCAGAATCAGATACTAATCCAGAAATTCAATGTAATGCTGAAGAAAGCATTCGAGCTGCTGATCTTGGGAAATGTCCCAGCAGGGTCAGCAAAGGGAATCCTTATTCGACAAGTCTGCCCTTGGAAAGTGCTGCTGATGATTGTATTCTTCCGGTACTGAATGGTGATAAGGGATGTTCATCAGATGGAAGACCTTCGTCATTTGGTCTTGAGTTTCTGTTTGCAGAAGCGCATGAAGAAAGCTATTCCAGAAATATAGAAAATACTGTTGGAGATTGTGAAGATAAAAGCCCTATATCCGGAGAAGGGAGAGTTGGCTTGGAAGCAAATGCAAGCGAGTCTGGGGAAAAGAACATTGCTGATATCATGTCCACTGGTCTCTACGCCAAAAGTCTGCAACATGATACTGACATAATAGGTGAAGAGACTGATAAAGGTACAACTGGACTAATCCTGTATCCATAACTACTTACTCCTACTGATTTAGAAGATAATATGTATGTTAAACATCTGAATTCACCTGTGCCAGTTAATGGGTACTTGCATTTTCAATTTTATTGGAAGGTCAAAACTCAAAACCTGCCTTATAATTTCTTCACTGTTTTTTTTTCTCTAAAGAGCTTGTACTACTTACTGATCTTGCTGCATGACTTTCAATTCACTACATTAAACTTGCAAAATCTCCAGATGTTTTGCCTATGGCTTTCCCTATTGAAGAGCATGGAGAAAAATATGCTGTGAGCCCTGTAGCTGTTGAAAAGAGCGTCGGTTCGGAAGCAAGTGCATGTGAATCTTCAGGAAAACCTCTAACTGGCATCTTTTGTAACGATCTCCACACCAAACATCTGCAACATGATTCTGATGTGCTGACTAAAGAGACTGGTGAAGGTAATATTGCCTTAATACTTGTTCCTCAACTTGTTACGGATCTGGGAGATGACGATGAAAAGTTGTTTCGTCTGCACTGTGTTTCATTTACCAATTTGAAACATACTCCCTCCGTTCTAAACTATAATTCGCTTTGACTTTTTTGGTACATCCATTTTGCTACGTATCTAGCCATATGTTATATCTAGATACATAGCAAAATATATGTACCAAAAAAGTCAAAGCGACTTATAATTTGGAACGGAGGGAGTACAGCCTGTGTTTCTTCTATCTGCAACAGCTAGGCCTAGGTTCCATTATCCAGGTTGTTCGTTTGGCTGGGCTTGTTCGTTGTTGGTTCGTGAAGAAGTGCTGCTGGTTGATTTGGTGTGAGAGAAAAATACTGTTCCGACTGAAAATTTACGATCGTTTACAACCAAGTGAACAGGCCAATCATTTGTTGTCTCATAACTATCTGACCTATTTAATTTTTTCTATTCTGAACACAACTTTTGGTTCTTGTGTAACTCTTCACTAATGACCTTTGTCATTTGCTAATACTATCATACTATTGATCAGCTTCTGGAGCTGCCCCACCAATATCAGAATCAGACACTAATCCAGAAAATCAATGTAATGCTGAAGAAAGCATTCGAGCTGCTGATCTGGGGAAATGCCCCAGCAGGGTCAGCAATGGGAACCCTTATTCGACAAGTCTGCAATTGGAAGGTGCTGCTGATGATTGTATTCTTCCAGTACTGAATGCTGATAAGGGATGTTCATCAGATGGAAGACCTTCGTCATTTGGTCTTGAGCTTCTGTTTGTAGAAGCGTGCAAAGAAAGCTATTCCAAAAATATAGAAAATACTGTTGGAGATTGTGAAGAGAGAAGCCCTATATCCGGAGAAGGGAGAGTTGGCTTGGAAGCAAATGCAAGCGAGTCTGGGGAAAAGAACCTAGCTGATATCATGTCCACTGGTCTCTACGCCAAAAATCTGCAACATGATACTGACATAATAGCTGAAGAGACTGGTAAAGGTACAACCAAATTGATCCTGTATCCATAACTACTTACTGATTTGGAACATAATGTCTGTTAAACATATGAATTCACCTGTGCCAGTTGATTGGTACTTGCATTTTCAATTTCATTGGAAGTTCAAAACCTGCCATATAATTTCTTCACTGTTTTTTTTTTCAAAAGATCTGTACTACTTCTTAACCTCGTTGCATGATTTTTCAATTCACTATAGTAAACTTGCATAATCTTCAGATGTTTTGCCAATGGCTCTCACTATTGAAGAGCATAGAGAAAAATATGCAAAATTGTGTCATGTGTTCAGATGCGTTAGTGGCTTAGTGCTACTGCTAAAACCATGTTAACTATCTCCAATGGAGCAAAATTGAAATATCGAAATGGGTAACCACTGAAGAATCCTGAACTCTGTTGACAGTAGACACAGCTAGGCCTATGGTTCATTATCATTTGTTCTCTTATACTATCTGAGCTATTTATTTTTTCTATTCTGAACACAACATCTGGTTCTTGTGTAACACCTCGACAATGCATTGCCTTGCTGACTGAGAAAAAATTTGGCCAGTGGTCTTTGTCATTTTCTAATGCTATCGAACGATTCATCAGTTTCTGAAGCTGCCTTGCTAATATCAGAATCAGATACTAATCCAGAAATTGTCTGCAATGCAGTTGCTGAAGAAAGCATTCGAGCTGCTGATCTGGGGAAATGTCCCAGCAGGCGCAGCATAGGGAACCCTCTTTCGACAAGTCTGCACTTGGAAGGTGCTGCTGACGATACTAGTCTTCCAGTAGTGAATGCTGATAAGGGATGTTCATCAGATGGAAGACCTTCGTCATTTGATCTTGAGTTAATGTTTGCAGAGGAGTGCAAAGAAAGCTATTCCAGAAATGCAGAAAACAGTGCTGTAGAAATTGATGGTGGAAACAAACCTAGCACCCCTGTGACACCTGGTTTCTATGTGCAATCTGATTGTCTGGAAGATGAGGATGTGGAACCTACTGAATGTGACGCTGACAAGAAACTCGATGACGATGAAGGTGTCGTAGAAGGTATGAATCCTTCATAACAGCTTCTGATATTAATTGGCCACTTATATTTTTTAATGTATCCTTTCCCCTTTCTCAGCAGAAGCTCAAGAGAAAAGTAATGATCAGCATGTTCCTGCCAAGACTGACCTAAACATGAAGTTAAACGATGAACTTGCTGGTCCTGGTACGGAATCAAGTTGTAGCATTACTGAAAAGAACGCCGGGCTTGTTGCAGATAATCTTGATGAACAAGCTATAATTCTGGTCCAACATGGTGATGTGCAAGAAGGTAAGCATCCATTTCTATGATAGCTGGATAAGTGGATAGTGAGTGTATCAGTTCCTGTTGTACTATCGGGCTAAGTGTTGTTTGAGAATAATACATAAATGTGTCTCAGGTGACCTCAAGAAACCTTCATGTTCAACAACACCAGAGTGTAAACATAAATGTGGTTTGCCTGAGGAAACAGTATTGCCCCCAAAGAACACGGGATCTCTATCAAGTGCAGAACAATCACCATTTGGCCTGGAGTCTTTGTTCTCACAGGAAAACATAGATGAATCTATGAGATTTGCGACAGCTCATACTAAAAATGGATTAGATGATTCAAAAGATTGCCATGTCAAGTCTGCACTCGAAAATACTCTTATGTCAGAACCTTTTTCACACCATGAAGGTATTTCCAAAAATGATGATCGTATGCATACATCCCAGAAAGATCATATAATGGCAGGTATAGACATCACATTTGATGGTGGAAACAAACCTAGCACCCCTGTAACACCTGGTTTCTATGTGCGATCTGATTGTCTGGAAGATGATGTGCAACCTACTGAATGTGATGCTGACAAGAAACTTGATGATGAGGGTGTCGCAGAAGGTATGAATCCTACATAAGAGTTTCTGATATTAATTGGTCACTAATATTTTTTTTAATTTGTAATGTATCCTTTCCCCTTTCTCAGAAGTTTTAGCTCAGGAGAAAAGTAATGATCAGCATATTCCTGCCAAGACTGACCTAAACATGAAGTTAAACGATGAACTTGCTAGTCCTGGTACAGAATCAGGTTGTAGCATTACTGAAAAGAACAGAAGGCTTGTTGCAGATATTCTTAATCAACAGGCTATAATTCAGGTGCAACAGGGCGATTGGCAAGAAGGTAAGCATCCATTTTATGGTGGCTGGATAAGTAAATAGTGAGTGTATCAGTTCCAGTTGTACTATCGGGTTAAGTGTTGTTTGCAAATAATGTATAAATGTGTCTCAGGTGACCTCGAGAAACCTTCACTATGTTCAGCAAAACCAGAGTGTAAGCATGAGTGTGATTTGCCTGAGGAAACAGTATTGCCCTCAAGGAACATGGGACCTCTACCAAGTGCAGGACAATCACCATTTGGCCTGGAGTCTTTGTTCTCGCAGGAAAGCATAGATAAATCTGTGGGGTATGGTGCACTTGCTTCTGCAACCTCTCATACTGAAAATGGATTTGATGATTCAAAAGGTTGCCATGTGAAATCTGCACTCGAAAATACTCATGTGTCAGAACCTTTTTCACACGATGATATTTCCAAAAATGATGATTGTATGCGAACATCCCAGCAAGATATTGGAATGGAAGGTATAGACATCACACTTTTTCCCCTCTTCTATAGTACCCCCCTTCATAATTTCCTTGGATTCCTCCAAACCTATAGAAATGAGGTATTTCCTGCCATTTAAGTGGTACCTTCATAATTTCCTTGGATTCCTCCAAACCTATAGAAATGAGGTATTTCCTGCCATTTAAGTGGTACCCATAAGAACTGTTTATTTTTTTAGGATTACCAGAGGCTAACCTTGATGAAGAACGGGTCCTGTCAGTCTTTTCATTGGATGCAAAGCACATAAAGGAGTAAGCATATTTTTTCGTCGTACCACTAAAAGTTCATATGTAATGGGAATGGTATGTGTTTGATTATTTTAAGATGGGAAACCAATTTTGTAGGGTCATTAATTTTGAGGAAGTGGCTTGTGAGGGTGAAGGAAGTAAGAAGTTTGTCCATTCTGAAGAGCATAAAGCTTCATCTGAGAAAACAAATGTCAATGGGCCAGGTACATCCTTTATTGATTCTACAGTTCTAGACCTTTGTTCTTTATACAGAAAATTAGTGGTCTCTCAAGACTAAAAGCATGCTTGGATATATTTTAGATTTGACTATATTTTTTATACATAACCTACTGCAGATGGCAATGCACATGGTATTACTGATGCTGTACTGAGCAGTGCACTGCACACTCCTGACAGTGACAACTATGAGATATGTTTGGGTTCCAATACTGACGTGCTGCATCAGGGTCATAATGATCAATGCAGTGATGACACAGAAGATATTATTGAGGATGCCTCTGCCAAGTACATAGAAAGGGGAATTGTACTACTCTCAGGTAAAGGAAGATCAAATTTAAAAGATGGGGAACTTAACTCCAAGTTGGAGGGAGCAAAAGTTGTGGAATCTGGTCTTTACTTCAATAAGGATATTGGTAACATTTTAGATAGTGGATCTGTTGCTGGTGAAATAGCTCCATCTGGTTCTGGTTTATCAAAAGATTCGTCCGAGTATAGACAGGAGGTTTTAGATGGCTTCTCAATACAAACATCTCTTGATGGGTCCTCTATGTGTGGGGAGAAAATTGGTTGTAGAGTAGGTCAGTATTATTTATACGCTTATATCTCCTACTTGTACTATTGCTTTTGAACTAATGTTTATTTGTTCCAATAATGCGCCAGATGCAATTGAGAATGAAGGTGCTTTGTCTGAGGAAGCTGCGTGCACAATGAAGAATTATGCTGGAACATGCTCATCAAATCCCAGAGAATTACTCATGGAGCTGCAGTCCCTGTTCTCGAAGGGAAACACGAAAGAATCTGATCCTCATGACGGCCTTGCATTCCCAAGTGCTGAAAATTCTGGAGATGAATCAATCAATGTTGAACAACGGGTTAAAGTACACCATAGCTCTGATCTGTCTCACTTGGATGAACTGATTGGGTGTTCCAATACTGAAATGCTGCGTCAGGGTCACAATCATAAAGATCGATCCAATGTGGATAGGGTAGAGCAAGTTGCTTCTGAACCCTGCACAAATGATATTGTTGAGGCTGCTGCTACTGCCAAGTGCATAGAAAGCGGACAGGTGCTGCCCCCATCTGAAGAGAGGTCTAATTTGAATGATGGGCAGCTTAACATAAGCTGGAAAGCCCAAACATTATAGTATCTGGCCTTAACTGTGATAAAGATGTTTGTAATACTTTGCATACAATGGATCTATTGTGGTCGTTGGTGGTGAAAGAACTCCATCTGGTTCTGGTTTACCAGAAGATTATCCTAAGGATCATTACCCACGACAAGAGCTTTTAGATGGCTTCTCATTGGAATCATCTCTTCAAGGCACTATCTCTTCAACTGTTTCTGGTGTAGCAGGTTAGTAACTTCTTATCATTTATGAACCTGAAGCCGTCTTAAACTATTAGTTATCAATTAATGTGTATTTTTTAAAATGATGTATCAGCAATTGGGAATCCTTCATCGAGTTTAGCAACTCCTGATTATAAATATGAAGGTGCTTTGTCTGAGGAAGCAGAGTGCAGGATGAAGAATTATACCGGAACTAGCTCGGTAGATCCCAGACACTTAGTCATGGACCTGCAGTCTCTTTTCTCAGAGGGAAGTACTGAAAAGTCTGATATGCAAGATAATCTTGCATTTCCAAGTGCTGAGAGCGGAAGGGATGAACGTATTAGTTGCCATGTCGAGAAACTAGTTGACACACATGTTTCTTCTGAACCTGATACATACCAAGGTCCTTGTCAAGATCTCAGCAGACATGAAGAAAAAGAGAGTTGCGTGTCTGTTCCCATGCAAGTCAAAGAAAGTGGAGGTAAATTTTATTTGTGCGATCAAACTTCTCATTTATTAAGTCTTCATGTCGTGCAATATCATGCTGTCTAATCCTCATAACTCACATAGAAATAACTGAATGATACTGTTTTACCTAGGGTTCTTGAGGTCTAGCCTCATGAAAGGTTCACTTACATCAGTCCAGATTGATTTGGCTGATGATGCCCATCTTATTGAAAGGTAATTTTGTTTTGGATTACTAAAGCTTCAAATGTTATGAACCATTGTGGTCTCTCCTTTAGTCTTTTTGATCATGCAATCAGACTATCATTATACCGCAGGGATATTGTTGCCGCCGTGGAAGTGCTTTGTGAGGAGAAAGTGGAAAGAAAGTCTATGCCTACTTCAGATGGACATGGTAAGCCTGAACTTGTTTGCTCAGTGAGGGAAAAATGCTTGATATCTGTATTGTTTGGCATAGTCCAGGGTCCACTAAAGGGAATTTTGACTTGTAGTTTATGTTGTAATTTGTCAAGCATTTAAAATATAAGAACTATACTTCCAAAATCCAAACTACTTTCAAACAAAACTATTCAAAATAAATTTTATGTGTTGAAACCCAAAATGTTAAAAGGTATTGATTACCAAAGTTTGGATTGGTTAACTGCATGTAACCAAAGACAATACTTATTTCGCACTGGACGGAGCAATAGATTTTATTTGTGTATGGCCTCATGATTCATTCTCTTCTGTTAGGAATTTGTCAATCTCGCAGCCAGAAGCATATAATTGAAGCAAACTCCATGGTATTTAGTTGTGGTACCGAAGTGCTCCATCAAGATCATAAAGAGTGCAACAAACCTAATGAAGGTAAATTCAGTCCAAAAGCCCTTGTTGAAAATAACATGACTGAAGATGCACCAATTGAAGGAATAGGAAGTTCAATGATGGTGCCCTTGGTTGCTGGAATGTCAGAAATACCTTATGAGCAGCTTAACACTAAGATGAGTGATGAAAGTGAGGAACTCAGCTTTAGCTGTGATAAAGAAACAATTGAAAATTTCTGTACTGGGCCAGCAAAAAGGCATCTGTACCCATTGCCCAAAGGCTTCCATATAGACTCTTGCCAGAAACAGGAGGTCCCAGAAGTTCTTTCTTCATGGAAAACTCCTGAAGAATCCGCAAAATTTCAGTGTGTGAGTCTTTCAGGATCAGGTTAGTAATAATGATTTCGTTCTTATATATTCTTGACTCATACATAGACTTCAACAAAGTTATCTGTAAAATTTTCTTCTGTGTATTCTCTCATTGTAGCTTTTACTATGTCAGGGCCTTGCCAGCAGCATGTGAATGAAAGCACAAGTATGCAAGTGACTTGTAATATTGAAACGCCCAATCAGGATCACGAGGAATACAATCAAAATAATGAAGACCAAACCACTCCTGGTATCCCGTCTAGCAGTGTGCCTGAAGCTGTAGGGATTGAAGAGTCAGAAATGGAAATAGGTCTGATCCCTGCTGCAGAAGCATCAGTGTTGCCTTTGCCAGATGAGCAGCTTAACAATAAGCTGGAGGGTACTGAGTTCCTGAACAGAGAAGCATCCAACCTGCACAAAGATGATTGCATGGATCTGTCCATTGAAGATAATCACCCAAATGGTCTTCCTGCTCCAAGATCTCCTGAACAATCTGCATATTTTCAGAACAATGACTTGGGTTCAATAGGTATGATATTGCTCCTGAATTGTTCATATCTTTCGATATGATGTGTTGCTCAATTTCTCACTGATGTTTTTTTTTGGTATAGCTGAACTCCGTACTAAGCTACAGAGTTTCAAAGTTTCCAGCACCGTAAAAGGAAGCTACATCGCTATGAGCGCCCCTCGTCCGAAGCCTAGGGACAGCATGAGTCAATCTGCAATCGCGCTGCTCAGGAACATAGAGAACACACCTGCTGTTAAAGCTGGCCATCCTGTCAAGGCGAACGCTGATGGTAAGGACTCATCAAGGCGAGCGCTGCAGCCCATCAGCGGAAGACCAAGGGAGCACTGACATATGGTAGGTCGTGGTTCGTTTGTTAGTGTATCGTGTCTGTGTTCAACCTTTGGTTGAAAGTTAGGTGTTCATCTCACGGAAAACGGTCCGTGTATTTGTGCAGCGTGCTGCGACGAAGCTGCTGCGTGCATTATTTAACCTAGTGTGCGTGTCCATTGTAGTAGAGATTGATCGAGTTGTGTTATGCAAGTGGCTAACCAGGTTGCAAGTGGCTAACCAGGTGTTAGCCGCTGTTTGGATCTTAATTAGCTTGCTTTCCGTTTAAATATACGTGTGTCACGTCGACTGGTCTTATCGATCTCTTGCAATGGGGATCGCCAATAGCGTGCCATATCCATGCTGGGGTTTGAACCGCTTTGGTAATGGCAATGCTGTGCTCATCTTCTAATTAAATAATACATTTCTATGCCACCTTCGTCATTCTTCAAATCAATGCTACCAAATCTACAACTCTGCTTTCTCTTGGGCATGATAACTTGCAGTCTTGCAGAACTACCTCCCACTGCTTTTAAATATGAATTGTAGCTTTTGCGAGAGCAACTGTGAAGATATTAGTTTCTAGTCAATGCAGGAGCAAGAGAAGAAACAAAAAAAGCGGACACATGGAACACATATGCCAAAAAATAGAATTACCAGGAATGGAAACTCAAAGTTCACATCATGCACAGTTCACATGTCAACACTTACAAGCAGGCACTTCGAATATGTTGTCCTGTATATGCATTATATTTAGAGTTCAGGTAATTGGGAACAATTTAGCATGCTAAGAATTGCATCAAAAAGGAACAAACAATATCATAACCATGCAAGTGAAAACCTCCAAGGTTGCAAGGTTGCACCCAGAATCCAGAAAAGGAGAAAGGTCCTGATTAGATCCTCTGCAAAAGAAAGGCAGATTTTAATAACCATTTTCCAAACCAGAGCATTATACAACTAACTCTTCATCAATGTTGCTGTGGATACAGACAGAGTATAGAACAAATAGGAGAAAAGCAAAATGAAGGAAAATTATCTATGTTTTTACCATGTATGTAATCCTTGTGAATCATTGTATGAGAAAAAGGCAAGATGAGCTCCATGTCTTCTAACCCTGCCCATGCCATCATAGGAAAGAACTTGTGCTAGGAATTTCAAAACCCCAAATCATCGCAAGTGCATCATCTGTAGAGAGAGCAAATGTTGGGGAGATAGCAGTAGCACATGCAGATCTAGAGAAATCATTCTGTCAGAACGTAGCATGCAGGCGTAAACTCCTAGAGTAGCTATTTGATTGATTTTAGAGCCCACTGACTCATTTGATAACACCAAATTGGATGTAGCAATTACTAATTAGTTACATCAAATCTCTATCTTTCACCTAAGTCCAAGAGCTATACTATCTGCAAGCCTTTTTGTCCCCTCTAAGAAACTGATCTACAAACTTCTAACTGAAGCACTGTACAAGGCACAAGGGAAGTATTTGATATTCCATATAGGTGAAGTGGTTCCACCGCTGATAGCTCAAGGACATATATCACTGAAACACATATTAATAGAAGTAGTTATGTGTCATTGAACAATTCAGTAAAAAGGGCGTACCCAGTGCAGAGAGCTCCCGCTCTGTGCGGGGTCTGGGGAAGGATGTCAGTGGCAAGCCTTACCTTCGCCTGTGCAATACGAGGAGACCGCGACTCGAACCGGGACCTTCCGGTCACTGGCGGTAAAGACTCTACCGCTTGCACCAGGCCCGCCCTTCAATTCAGTAGCCACTGCAAATTGCATTAGCAAAGACGGATAGGTTCTAAACTGAACATGGCAAAGAGTAACTATTTGATCCTTCGTGTTAGACAGTCACGAATTGATGCATGTCAGGAGCAAATCTGAATATATGAGAAGTTAATTGTAATGATCAGCAACAGGTAAAAAAGAAATCCTGACATGGTCTCATTTTTTTTCAATTTTGCAGCACATTTGTAAAAAAATACAAATCTTTATAGATCTAACTAGTATAAGAGTTTCAATTTACTACTGTTGAACTAAAATGGTCATGGTTCAATTAGAGCCGAGTCACGCTAGTCATTCTACACAATGCTCAATATATCCAAGTGGTAAATTTATGACTAATCTGAAGAAAGTAATTTTAAGTGACATTCAGGAATTTGTCACCCACTACAGAAACCAGATATTTCGTGAGAGTGCAAAACACGTCACGAAATATGGTTTTACTCTCACGAAAATAATGCGTGAGAATATACCGTCACGCATCTACACTCATGATAATAGACACACGAAAATCACATTTTCATAAGAGTTCACCGCCACGGATTCTTATTTCATGAACAATTCCAATAACTCACAAGAAATATCATATTTCATGAGAGTACACCACAAAAATATGTCCAAACCATCACAAAAGTATGTTTTCTGAAGATGTCAACCAAGCATAAGAACTCCAAGGGGTAATTTTCTGAAGATGTTTTTTTCCTCAGATCTTAATAACATCGACAACAATTATACCTGAGCAAAATGAGCCCGGCCCATGGGCTCAGCCCGAGCCCGATGGGTTTTAGTCCGCCCACCAACCTTACTGGAAAGGGAAAAAAATTCTTGGCCCATGCCCGGCCCGAAATAATGTTTTTTTTGCTATTTTATACTATAAAATGCACGGATGGCCCGCCTAGGCCCGGACCTAGCCCGAAAAATTACGCTCGACCTGCCTTGATGGGGACGGTCATGTATGGACTTTTTGACTCAAAATAACCGGCCTTTTTTTTTGGCCCATAAAATGCTCAGGTCTAACAACAATGACCACTAATAGTTGGTTCCCATCTATAATTAAGAACTTAAACTAAAATACACTGCAGAACATGAAAGTATGTCTAAATAGCATCGCACTCATTGTTCTACCACCTTTTTGCGAAATCCCATGCAGTCAAACTTTCAAATCATTGCCAAGCCAGTATCAAGTGGAACAATATGCTAAAATCCTGTCAAATGAAAAAGTGATGTTAGCATATACTAACCTCCATTTCAAAATACTTGTCACTTTTGACCACTTTTAAATTTTCTAAATAGTTGGCACTACGCGCTTCCGAAAATTTCATTTCCAATTTCCCTGGGTTTCGCTGAAATTTGGCTTATGCTTATTCTTATGCTAAAATATTACGAGAGAAAAATACTATTTGTTCACTGAAACGTATTGCTGAAATGGTGCAGCAGAATCGGACGTTTGTTGTAATGGGGCAAGGATCAAATCCAAGTCTCGCCTAGCTCGTCCAATATCTTCTTTAGGATCAATTGCCATTGGTTGAGGATAAAGATTCAAGTCGAAGGAAGCTCTATCATCTGGACTGGGGAACCAAGTGGCTTTCAGCCTTTCAGATTGAAGTAACCTTTCAGCAGTGCACCCTGGTGCGCCATTTTAAAAAATGTTCTCATGCGACTTAACAATTAAAGTAACGCTAACACCCAAACGTCTGGACGAACGCCTACGCTGCACTCCGTTTCCCGCGCATGCTGCACTCCACACCAGCGCTCGTGCCAGCATGCCTTCGCCCGCACGCCCATGCAGGGCCCATGCCGCCCAAACGTCGCATGCAGCGCTAGACTGCACGCGGGGACCCATCGCGTCCTCTCTTGCTTTCCACACGCATTCCATGTGCAACACCCGATCTACTTTTAAAATATTCAGATGCAACATTTGCAACATACGTAGACAGATGAAACACTTAAAACATGCTTCTGAAACACTTGCAAAAAAATCACCCAAAAAACACTTGAAAACCATTGCAAACATATGCAACATTAAGATAAAACACTTGCAACATATATGTGAAAACATATGCAACATCCAGATAAACACATTTGCAACATACGTCTGAAAGCACAGATGAAACATTAGGAATATACGCTTGCAACATACATTTACAACAATTGCAACATATGAAACATCTCGATCTACTTTGCAACATTCATATGAAACACTTGCAATATGTGGCAGAATCGCCCGAAATAACTCACTTACGGAGGCACTCGCCTTCCACTAGGCACTAAGCACCCCGAAAGTGAGCTACATCAGACGATTTCGTCGAGCACACCCCAAGGGAGAACTCGAAACAATACACATTTACATCTAGAATCTAATAATGAGAACGAGTTACAATACTTAGTCCAATTCATACAATAAGAGTTCTTCAGAAATAAATTATTACAATATCAATGTTCAGAGTACGGAAATTAAATAGCAGAAATAAAATAAACATCTAACGAAAGATACAAGGATCCATCTGTGTCCACCAGAAGAATCCTCCACTCAAAGGCCATCTTTAAGCTGCACCTATGAAATGTCCTTATTTGGTTTTGGTAATTGAGTGACAATTTAGGTGAACTAATTGTGTTTATGTGAGATACATAGGTGATTAGTCCACCAGTATATGTGTGTGAGCAACATATGCCACGGAGGTGAAGATGGCTTGAATATGTTGCAAAGCTCAATATGTGATGATAAAGGAGCTTATTGTACATGAAACATGACATTGAGTCATGTGATCAAGGTGGAGAAGATCAAAATAAGGCTTAGCTCGACGGACCAGCTGCAAGCGTGAAGGGCAGGTTGAGTGATGACTTGGTGCCGATGGACCGAGACAACGGTGAAGAGCAAGTGAAGTCAAGATCGATGAACCAATACGATCATGTGATGATATGAAGTGGATCATATCATTTGATGATTGGTTGGTGCATGTGTTGCATCAACATTGGAGTAAATAGAATGCAATACGCAAGGCAAAGGTATAACCTAGAGCATTTCATTTCACCGGTCGTAGGTGAGTAGAGAAGTTTATGACCGGGTTTAGGATAGATGGTCATACTATCAAGAGGGCAAAACTTGTTTGCATATCGGTCATCTAGTGCCACTTGAGCGATCTAACTTTACATACGTGTTAGGATCGAGTGGCAATGTGATTTAAGTGATTATACCCTTGAAATGTTTGTGAAAACATGCTAACACACGTGCACAA